CGATCACGGTAAACTCGCCACTGAGGTGCGGGGAAAGGCGAATCGAAAACGAAAGCCGGGGACGAGCTCGGAAGCTCACGCCTGCCTTCCCAAGCTCACTCTCCGCAGGTACCGCACCTGCCCGGAGCCCCGACAGCGCCCTCGCCGCGACAACGGCAGCGCGACCCCTGACAGCTGCAGCCCAGCGCCCCTCCTGCCTGTGCGCGTCGGTCCGGCTCCCCCAGGCGAAGGCTCGACTCCTGCTGCGTGAGTCCCTGCGCCTCCCAGCACGATGAGTTTGCTCGGGCTTAGCTACGCTCCTGCCCGCTGTACAGCTCCGGGCAAACGCGCACTGCACGGCGGCCGGGGAGCCCCATAACATCGCCCGCTGCCGTCGGGAGAGGGGGCGAGAGAATCGCAGTAATAGAAGCAGTTTAAAAATAATGATCATCATCATCATAATAATGAAAGGTGTGTTTATTTTCGCGGAGCAGACTCACCCACGTCAGTGGGGCCGGACGGCCGGGCCGGCGATGGGTGCCGACGGCCTCGCGCGGAGCAGCCCCTTTTGGAGAAGGAAAACCCGGGCTCCCCCGCTCCCCCAGACAGGGCGACAGAGGGGTGCGCGGCGCCCCGGAGTCGCCGCTTCCTCGTTCACTCCTGATTCGCCCCCGTGAGGGAGGAAGGCGCAAGCCGCGTCTCGCAAACCGGATTTTCAGAAACCAAAATAGCCGATTTGTTGTTTTTTTTTTCTCTCAAATACCAAATCTTGTCGAGGCTTTTTTTTTCCGGCGTCGAGGACGTCAATAGGAAATAAAACGGGCCTCTCGGGGTTTAAAGCTTGTTCTTTCCGCGCTGATCAGCGCGTAAAACGAGAGAAAATAAACGGGTTAAGTTGCGCATATCCTAGGAAGCACCGACACATTGAGTTGTTGTTGCTAAAAATAGTTGAAAGACCTGAAAACATTGCCGCTGCCCTCGCTGTGGCCACCAGGGGGCAGAGCTGCTGTTCAAAAATGTGTCCAAAAAAA